AATCTCAACTGCACAATTTATGGTAGTGGGGGACTGCGTTCGCGCTCTCCCCTGGTTTTAATGTTATATAATGAATTAATGGGAAGCCTGTAGTACTAATATTTCATTTACATTTAATACTAGAGTCTTACAGCTTTCAGCATTTTATCAGGTTTTTGTCAAGTGTCACTACATTAATAAATGTTACTGTAAACTTACTTTATTCTGAAAAACGGCTAATTGGTAAAACCAGTAATTAAAGTTACTTATTTTAAACACATTTCATTGTCATGTCAGTATAATCTGTAGGAGGCGTAACAGGGCCATCATAGATTAAAAAATAAATTCTGCCAAAATCCTAAAATTTCCACATTCATCTCAGAATTTCTCATGACATTCATGGTAGTGGGGGACTGCGTTCGCGCTCTCCCCTGGTAATAATGGGAAAATGGTGGAACTATAATGTTATTCCTTTTTTCAGGGTCACTGAACTGTTGTTCTGTTAATGTCCTTTAGCTACACTGCAGTAAAGAGTCTATTTTCAAAACATCTGACTACTGAATTACTAAATGATAAACCGATTAAATCTATCATTTGATATATTCAAATGATTAATCATTCAACAGCTGAAATTTTGGTATTTTAAAGAACAAAATTATCATAATTCTAACAGAAATAACAAAATAAAAAAGTTACTGAAGTCATTGTAACTACAACAGGACGAGTTGAACGTTTCCTTGGTTCATTCAGCTGCCAAATAAAAGACTCAACAGTCCATCACTGAATCCTGCTGGTTTTTCTCATGACAATGTTTTAGTTTTGTGTTCCTGTAAACTTTCAAATCTTCACATCATATTCTTAAAACCAAATTTTTTTAATTTTCTTCCCATTTATATATTTTCAAAGATGCGTGTAGTTAAATACTTTCACAGTGCAGCTTTCTTTCAAACATATATTTATTTAATTGTCCCGTTTCTGATCAGTGTCTTCTGACGGATGTTCATGCAGCAGTCCGTTGAGTCGGGCTGTCAGAGAATCCCGCTCTCTCTGAGCGTGACGTTTACAGCCTGGATGAGCGTTTCGCTGTAGCTCAGCAGCCTGCCGTCATAAACCAGCTGGTCCCAAGTCAGTTCGGTTTGCATCTGAGATCTGAAAAGAAACCGAGAGAAAAACTGCATTCATATAAATTAAGAGTAAACAGATGGTTACTTTCACTCATTTGTTTCCACATATGTTCAAGGTTTGCTCACTTTTAATGCCTATAAAATGTTTTCCTTTTCCTTGTTTGCTTCCAAATTATGTTACATGATCAACATTATTTGTGTTTTTTTCTTTCTTGATGAAAGAAATACAAAAAACTACAACAATGTATTGGCACTACAGTATATTTTAAAAAAAGGAAGTGTACATTTCCACCAAGAAACTTCTGAACTCAAAAAGTTGTAAATTGTTTAGTTTTTAAACTCAGAAAATGTCCAAACTTGACAATTTGACACATTTCCAAAAAATGCATTTAAATTTTGTTGAACAACTGTCTGATGATTTCGCTGTCGCCGTTCTGCAGACCAGCGAAGCCAGCAGGGGGAGCCGTAAATGAAAAATAAGGATGTTATTATATCTTCTGTATGTTTTAGTTGGTTTCATAAGTTTTTCCCCATTAATTTCTCAGTTTTTTTATTTCGCCAACCTTGATAACTTTGGTTGGAAAAGTCAAATAATTATTTTACACAATGTTTTTAACTTCCATCTGGTTATTTGTTTCTTATATTTTAGCTGATGTTTTTGCGATACAACGATCAGGTGATTGGTTGTCATGAAGAAACAGGAAGTGCCGCTCCACCTGGTGTGGTACATCCGCGCGATGTTCCGGTCCACCCAGGCGCAGCCGTCCATGCTGTGGGACTTGAGCACGCCGTGAACAGAGACAGAGGTGACGAGTCGAGGGTTGACGATGATCTTGAACTTTTCGTAAACATGATCTTTGGAGACGGGCTCCTGGTGGAGGTGGGCCAGGACGTCCACGCCCGGGACGCCCCTCCAGCGGGCCGGCTCGGTGCCGCCCCGAGGCAGCGTCACGTTGTTGGGGAACACGTTGTTTTCAAACATGTAGCATTTGTTTTGGGTGTACTTACTTTCCAGCAGAGGCAGCAGCTCCGTCCAGCTGAAGGAAGGAAAGTTAAACACTTTTTAAAACGATCATCGTTGTGATGACTTCATGTTTCATTTCTGGTTATTTGGAAATCAAAACGTCACTCGTGTTTATTTTGGTTGGATCTGGGTTGTAAAGTTACACAGTCAAAAATAATCTGAGAAATTTAGTCTGACAACAAGAAAAAAAATGGGCTTAATTTTTTATAGTCCTATTTTCTTTATGTCATTCATTTATAAACAAGTTGTAGTTTGAAACTGAAATATTTAAATAGCAAGCTAAATATTTAGCTTTAGGGCTAAATATTTAGCTTTTTTTATTTTACCAAAAATAAAAAAAACTGATTTTTGGTGCAAACTAAATATATAGTTTACATCAAAACATTTAGTCTGTTAACTAAACATTTGGTTTGTAAACTAAAAAAACTAGCTTAGACCTAAGTATTACAGCCAAATATTAATTTTAAATCTAAATATTAATGGGGTTCCATTTATAAAGTTACACTGAAAAACACTTAAAATTACTAAAATAAACTAAATATTAATGCACAAGCTAAATATTTAGCTTCATATTTACTAGTTTTGTTTTCAGTTTGAGAACAAAACTATTTTGTTTTCAAACTAAACATTTATTTTCCAAACTTAACATTTCTAAATATTTAACTCGCTGACTAAAAATGTTGCTAGCTAAATGTTTGGCTAATATACAAATTTGTTTGGCGATAAGTGGAAGTAGACTATCAAAATAAAAGCTTGGTCTTGTGGAGCTCTGAATGAACTTTCACTGCTGGATGAATTTCAGTCGTCACTGAAGTTTTTCGTACGTTTTGACCGTCTGGGGCAGGATGAGTTCGTCCATGTCGTGCAGAGCCACGTATTTGGACCGGTACATGTTCCGGTAGAGGCAGTCGTTGAGCGCAGCGATCTGCCCAAAGTAGTGGAGGTCACCGGGGCCGTGGGAGGGCAGCCATCCGCGAGAGACATTCAGGAAGCCGGACATGGACCAAGGAATCACCTCCAAGATACCTGAGGAAGAGGAGGAGGATGATCTGAAGGCAGACTCGCCGTCAGACATCTTTACTCAGTCTGGACGCATATTATGGTTGAAGCTAAAGACTTAGCTTAGCTAATTTTGTAGGTTCAAATGAAATATTAAGTTTAGAGGTAGAGATTTAGATCCAACCCAAAAACATAGCTTGCTATGTTGTGAGACAAACTGCTGTATTCAATAAATGTGCAGAAACTGCAGAGGGAGCAAGGTCATAAAATAAAATCCTCGTTTCAGTCCAGGACAGGAGGGAAAAAAATCATCTCTGAGTGAAAATCTTCAGTCGAATGAAGGCTTGTTTTCGTCTCCTTTAGAAAATGAAACTGCAGCTCCTTTCAGCAGCTGTTTCCTGTTTAAAAAATGGCTTAAAAGGTGAAACGACTGTCATCCTGAGCAGCTTCCTTTCTGACAATGACAAAACAAAAGGAGGAGGAAGGAAGTTGGCCAAGCGAGTTTTGGCTGCTGTGACCTTTCTGTGTGACATTTGCACAGAATGTGTTGGATTGAACAAACTGAAAAAGCATCATAGTTCTGCTCTACTTTACCTTTTCTGGTGTAGTAGTTCAGTACGCGTTGCGTTTTAGCGCTGCAGCTGGTTTTATAGACAAACACTTTGCTCACTCCCAGAAACCGAAACATTTCTAAACTCTGCACAAACTGCAAAACAGAAAAAAATAAACGTTAAGACACATTTAAATTACTAACAGTATTTTAAAGCTGCAGGACGTAACTTTTATAAAAAAATATTTCTCTACATATGTGTTGAAACCATGTTGTTAAAGTTTGGTTTGAGACAGATAATCTGTGAATAAACACAGTTCCTCTGCCTCCTCCCAGTGTCAACTACAAACAACCAATCACAGCCAGGAGGCGGGTTTTAGTGCTGTCAATCACCTCTCCATGTGGGCATGCTGTGAAATGCTAGGCTAGTTAGCATGGCCACCGATAACAGCGGACAAACAGTCTTCCTGTAACAGTAAGTAGTTTCTCCACAGTTGGCACATTTAGCAGCACATTTAGCAGCATGTTCACGAGTTGATTGACAGCGCTAAGCTCCTCCTCCTGGCTCTGATTGGTTGTTTTTGATGCATTTCTTCAGACAGCAACAGCAGCTCAGGGAGATCGATCTTTTCACAGATTATTGTTCTCGTATTGAACTGTCACAACATGGCAGTTTTAACAAATATGTACAAAACTTTTTGTTTTTACAAACTGCAGCTTTAAGGATAAAATAAAGCCCCTCTCCCCTGTGCTTTCCCTCACACAGCTCCTCCAGACAAGCGGCAGCAGCAGCAGTTAGCAAATATCTGGTGGAGCTGAAAGTCTGCTGAATTCATCGTGCAAACTAAAGCACTCCTAAGAACGGCTGTAAACGGCACCATGGAGAAACATTGTTCAGGTAGAACTTCTTAAAGAGACAGGAGCCACGGTCTGTCTGTTTACTGATCTGTAAACGGAGCATCATGCAGGAGAACTGGACTTACCTGCAGCACATTGTTGAAGTCGAACATGGTGGACAGACAGACGGTGAAGGTGTGATTAAAGGATTCCGTCTTTTTGTTTTCATTCTTCACCTCCAAAAATTCAGGCTGATGTTCCTCTGAGAGAAAACAATATACGTACATTTTGAGATATTATATTTTTAAACTCCCACCCTGTGCATGTGGCAGATCTATGGAGCTCCTTCAGTGACAGACTGCTGCATCCTGGATGCACAAAGGAGCGTAATCACAGATCCTTCCTCCCAGCAGTGGTTACAATCAGGATAAAAAAAATAACTGTTTACATTCCTGCTGGTGTTTGCACAAATATACATTTTGAACAACTTAACATTTCTTTTTAATCTGAGTAAACAATATTTAATATTATTTTCTCATGTTGTTAATTTGCCCCACCTGTGCTCTCTCTTATTCTTTACTTTTACCCCAGTTTGGATCATTTACCTTTGCCACTGTGTGACAACTGAGGATATTTTTATTCATCAAGTTCAATTAAATATTTGAATAATTTGAGCAAGAACATAAAATAAAAAGTTGCTTGTTTCATAGATTCAAACTCCAATTCAGAATTACTTTATTGATCCCAAAGGAAAATTAAACAATCTAATAAATCAGTAACTGATCTGAACACCTTCCTGATTTCCTAAACTCTCCTGTATCACCAGCCAAGGCAACTCGTCTTGTTGCTACGACATTTCAACCTCAACCTGTTTGCAGTCAGGAAGTAACTAGTTACTTTGACTCAGTTACAATTACTGCAGTAACTTTTAAAAAAGTACTTTTATGAGTATTTTTTTACTATGCTGTACTTTTTTTTTCAATCAATACTAAGGACTTATTGAATTATTCAATAATTCAGTTGCCTTTTTATCAAATATATTTTTTCTTGAGTGATTTCTTGGACTGCTACTTTTTAAAGATAATTTTCAGGAACAAGGCAGATCAAAGTGAATTAGAAAGAAAAACAAACAATACAAAAAAGGATAAAACGGTAAGGGTAACAACAACAACAACAAAGAGATAAAAGTAAGACACAATTTAGACTAATTTGAGTTTCTCTACATCTAAAGTTTGTTATTGATGACTATTAATAAGAATAAGAACTCTACAGTTCATAAACCAGCAGGAGTTTCTCTGTCTCCATGTTTGATTCTTGTTCATTGTTGCTCTTAGCAAGTATAAAACTAAATGTTGGTTCTCCATGTTTGATGGCGTGAAAGTGTATTGAAATATCGCTACTCTTACTCGAGAATGTTTTGAAATCTGTACTGTACCTTTAAATGCCGTGGAGGCCACGGCGACGTGCGACGGCGTGCCACAGCTTGATGGTATGAGACACATGATGTCGGCGGTGCCGTAGCGGAAGCCGAAGTGGTCGCTGTGGATCTGCAGGTCGGCGTCTGAGACGTGGTTCTGGTTGTTGCGGCAGAGTAAGACGCAGCGGTAGCTGACCGTCTCTTCACGCAGCACCACTGCGATAACCCGAACCTGAGAAGACAGGAAGAGGTACGGTGGTTTTATTCACCAATCAGGAATTATTACAGTTATTTAGCATACATGCTAACCTGATACCTTCTGATTTTAGACGGCCATGAGTTCTATAAATCTATCAGATATATGACTTTATTACCGGCTAATGCATTTTTAAAATCACAATCTACTCTTTTGATTGTAAGAAAATATGTAATATTTTTTAAATCACATTAAATAATATTTTATTTGCAGTTTCTTTTGGTCTTTTTTCTTGACAGAAACTTTTGCATTTTTTGATTGCTGCGCTAGCTTGAGCAGCAAAGCAAATGATCACCTGAAATAACGTTTAAATACATTATTTTAACTTAAACTTTATATAAAAACATGATGAAAAATGTAAGATTAAAAATCTTTATGGATTCAGTTATTTTTTATTTTTGCATTTATTCTTTTCTCATCTTCCCTCCAACTTTCTGAGTCCCCACAGCTCTCAGGCCTTCTGGTTCTGGTTCTGCTCTGCATCCAGAACCAAACTTGGAGAAGCAGCTTTCAGCTTCTATGCACCACACATCTGGAACAAACTTTCAGAAAACTGCAAAACAGCCAAAACACTGAGTTGCTCTAAATCAAGGCTAAACCTGCCGGTCTACAGTTGCTTTTGAACATTACAAATGGAGCATTGACTGTAAGGTGTTTTTATGGCTTTATTTTTGTGTTTTTGTTATGTAAAACACTTAGAACTGCCTTGTTGATTAAATGTGTCATATAAATAAACTGGATTAATTGATTCAAAATATTGTAATTTGAAATAAATCTGTGTTGTTAAGATTTTCTTGAATATCTTAACTAAAGCATCTAAAAAAAACCTGTTTACTTTCCATTGCAGAAAAGAAATACAGAAAGAATCGTGACTTAGGAAGCCATTTCTTGAAATGGTAGCTTGGCACAGTGATTTAAGGTGGACTGGACAGTGACTTAAGGTGGACTGGACAGTGATTTAAGGTGGACTGGACAGTGATTTAAGGTGGACTGGACAGTGACTTAAGGTGGACTGGACAGTGATTTAAGGTGGACTGGACAGAACATTCCTTAATGAACACAGGGAATACTAAAAGCCGTTACTCGCCTGCCGTGGGTTTGTGCGGTGTTCTAGATAAGCCGATAGCAGCAGCGTCTTCGTCATGTTGACTGTAATAAATGAAGTTGCACCTTTTGTTCGAGCTGCACAAGGAAAAAAACAATCATTCTGTAAACTGTTGACTAAAGGTTAACAGAGAAGCGAGTAACTTACCTTTATGTGTAACATTCTGTATCCAGGACTGGAGTTGTGTTACTGTGCTGCCCAGTTTTCTAGCTGGGATGGGTATCCAGCTCACCTCCTTTAAACATCTGCCCCCAAGCGGCAAATCAAAAGGAAAATGAGTGATGTCATTTGAATCAATGTTTTCAGAGCTAATAAGGTAAACTGGTTACGGTCATTTCTTTCACTTTGTCAGAAGAAAGCAGTGATTGGACTGTGAGGAGTTGAGTTCTGGACAAATGATGTTTGGTCATTATTCAGGTCTATGGTGAAGTTTAACACCCACAATCCATCACTGCACCAGATGTTTTGGATTAAAAGGCGGAAATGTGGAAATATTCGCAGAGTATGTTGTGTCTGCTGCAAGAAAAGTCAGTTTTCAAATGCAACGTATTGAAATTATTTTTGTTTTATTCAACTGTAAAATATCTTAAAACTATTAAATTTTGCTTTGTATTCAACAAGTCATAACAAATTTGAGCAGCCAAATATTTGATGGGATCATGGAGAGCAAAAATACTGAACAACTGATTGCATGTTAGGGTTAGCCATCAACGTAGAGAGCAACATGTCCGCCATTTTGGATGTGGCAGTTACATGTCCGCCATTTTGGATGTGGCAGTTACATGTCCGCCATTTTGTCCTAACTTTAATTTTTGCAGACTTGTGAGACTCTTATGTGAACTTTGACTGAGAATCTATTAAAATTGGTGTCAATAAGCTCTGCTTATTAATAACCTTGACCTTTTGACCTTTAAACTATCACTAATACCTTCAAAATAAAGCAGCACAAATCCAAATTAGTTTGATTTCATAAATGTGAGAGTTTGGGAGTTGACCTCCGATGACCTCTGGAAGCCTTTTTATCGTGGCACAAATAAAAATGTTGCTTCACAAACCAACACAAACGTAGCAGAATTGGTCGACACCATCAGGGGTTTGGGGATGGTAGGTTGACCTTTTGTGACCTTTCATGACCTCTGGAAACATTAATTAATTAATATTTTTAGATGACTTGGCACAAATTTAAAATTTTTGCTGCACAAATGTAGCACAAACATTTGATACCAATTTTGTTAAACTTGGGTAACGTGGGGGTGATGGTTGACCTTTTGACCTTTGCACTTTCATCAATATCTTCAAAACAAAAGCAGCACAAACCAAAATTTGTGCAGCTCAAATGTAGCAGAGCTGATTGACTCCAACTTTGGTGTCAATCAGTGTGTTGGATTTTTTAATGTGGGGGCAGGTTGACCTTTGGTGACCTCTGGAGATATTTCAAGCACTGTATGTGTGCATATTTAAACTGAAATTATCCTCACTGAAAGCAAAGCAGGACAGATGTCTTTCTCTGCGCACAAACTTGGTGAATTAAACCGTTTTCTGAATTAGAGAAAAGGGGAACAATGATAAACCCAGTGAAGGATGTCAGCCACTCAT